TGATGATGATGATGATGATGATTCTTGCATAGCATTAAATAAAGCAAAATAAATAATAATAAAAGCATTAATAATAATAATAATTTATGAAAAAGAATGAAAAAAATTTTTCTTTTCTTTGTTTTAATAAAAAAATTCATGCAAATGTTTTTGAAAAAAATTTGTGTTAATATTTTTATTATTTTTGTATAATAATAATGATAATCGTTTGAAATAAAACCTTTTTTGGTATATAAATATCTACTACGTCTACTTCTACTTCTTCATCATCTTCTTCTTCTTCTTCGAATATAATATCAGACATTTTTTTAATTAAATGAAAACCAAAATCCCAACCGTAAGTAATCACACGTGATACTGAACTCAACATACTCGACTAATAACATAAATGAAAATGAACTTTGAAACTTAATAAAAGCGTTAGTTTTTTTTTTTTTTTTTAAAGTCAGGCCTCCTCTTTTATTATTATTATTATTATTATTATTATTATTATTAATTAATAACTGAATAAAGGTTTTAAAAAATTCGAAACAACTTTAAATTATATATACAGTGTTATACTGGAATATAAAAAAAAAACAAGACTATGAGTCAATGATATTTTTTCTTTTTTTTTTTTTTGCATTATGTAAAAAAGATAATTTGATAGTTTGTAAAAAATTAGTCATTTGTCGTAAAATTTTTTTTTTTTTTTAAATGATAATTAAAGAGATTTGAAATTATTTTTAACAATTTTAAATATACCATTTTTTCTTTTTCCCCCCCCCCCCCTCTCGTCAAAAGTGTTTTAAGATTTCATAGATGTATAAATTGTCATTTGAAAATAAATTCAAATGATTTATGAAAGTTATAAAAAATTTAATTCACCTTTTATTATTATTATTATTATTATTATTATTTAATTAAATAAATTTTTCTTTTTAAATATCTATGAGAATTAATAATAATTTTTAAAAAAAAAAAAAAAAACATGTTTCACGAAATACTTGTCGAAATATAAATAAGTAAAATTTAACGTGCGAAAAAAACAAAATGGCTACCGCATTTAGTACGATAATTTCCCGCTAATGGCAGCACTGTCAATAATGTAAACAAATGTTTTTTTATTTTATTTTATTTTCCAATTAAATCAATTTTCCTTTTAAAAATCGATGAGAATTAAAAATTTAAAAAAAAATAAATAAATAAATAAATAAAATAAAACATGTTTCACGAAATACTTGTCGAAATATAAATAAATCAAATTTAACGTACGAAAAAAAACAAAATGGCTACCGCATTTAGTACGATAATTTCCCGCTAATGGCAGCACTGTCAATAATGTAAACAAATGTTTTTTTTTTGTTTTGATTTTTTTTTTTTTTTCGAGGAAAAAATTTTTTTTTTAACTTTGAAATATTTAATAATATAAATAATTAATATTAATATTCGAAATGGAAATTCCATCCGTTTTGGATGAAAAATTATTACCGATATTGGATAAAGTTACACTAGATCCAGATCCGATAAAAGCAGTTTATCATTATTATAAAACAAAATTCGAAGGGAATTTATTGGTTAAGTACGTTTAAATTTAATTTTTTTGAATATAAATATTTTTTAAATAATATTATTTATTATTATTTATATAATAAATAATATGTTATTTATAGAAAAAGACCAGAATGGGATGCTGCGAGAATAACACCGGCTACCGAATTAGTGTCAGCAAAAAGAGATTTGTTATTGGCAGAAAGAAGCCTACAAAGAAAACGTGAAGAACAAAATATAAAAAGAGAATTCATGGATAAAGAATGGAGAGAATTATTAGAAAAAGAAATAGGTTTACGTACGGCTTTTGTAAGATTTAATAAATTCATTAAAGAAAATCTTGACAAGAGGGAAAGGTAGGATAATTTGAACTTTGGCAGCCTCCATTTCCACAATTTTTAAAAAAGTATCTTGCATGCCTACAAAATTTGCTTTTTCCCAATAAATCCAGACAATTAAGATGAAAAAAAAAAAACGCTTTTAGAGCTGAGAAAAGAGTAAAAGAAGAAAAAGATCTTCAAAATTTAAGAGATCAAGAATTAGAAGAACTTCAAGGAAAAGTTGATTACATGAAATTTATTAAAGATGATATGGAAAAACATGTCAACGAGTATAAAATGTATGAAAATTATTTGAAACTCGTCATTAATTTATCCAACGAAATGAACAGCTCCTACGACATATTAAACAGGTACTGATAACAACGGGAAAAATCATTTTAACATTAATGCACCCCCGAGGAATTGTAACAAAATAATAATGTATTGTAATGCAAAAGGTATGAAACGTTGGCATCGGCAAGAACAGAATTAGCTGCGAGACAGGAAAAAAATTTAACGGCTTTGGAAACGGCAAGAACGGACATGATTAAACTAACGGAAGAAAAATCACAAACAATGATGGGATTGATAACGGAATTATCACAATTGCAAATGCGTTATGATAGAGCTAAAGCCATGTCACTACGTTGGGAAACTGTTTTAACAAAAATTAAAAATATATCCGCAGAAAAAGCTTTGGAATTGAATCAAGTAAGACATTAATAAGTTCACCCCCACCCACACAAAAAAAAAAAAAGAAATTTAATTTAATTATTTTTTTATTTAAGGTAAAAATTTCATGTTGGAATTTATACACGGCCATGTGTTTGAGAAAAAACGTTGAAGTTTCCGTTGAAAAGGATAACGTCGAAGAACAATTGGTTTTCATAAAGAGATCAATACAAGAATTGAAAAAAATATTAAGATTAGTACAGAAAAAAGCTGCTAAAGAAATCGCATCAAACAAACCATCTGAAATTTCAACGTGACTCTTCATTATTATTATCATTAGTAGTATTATCATATGTATATAATAAAATAAAAAAATTTTTTCATATTTATATTTATATATATATTTTAAAGGCTTTTTTTTTTTTTTTTTTTAAATATTTTGGTAATTAAATGCTTTATTTTACATAAATTTTTCTTTTTTTTTTATTTCATCATCATTATTATTTAATAAGTCTTCGAAAAATTATTATTTTCCCTCCCCTCCCCCCTTAATTTTATTTTAAAAAAATAAGATCGAAACGCTCGTTACGTGGAAATTTTCATATTAAAAAAAAAAAAAACCTTTCGAGTGTGTGTGTGTGTGTGCGTGCGTGTACGCACGTCATCATCATCATCATCAACATCATTATTTTTTTTTTGTAAACGTTTCATCAATTATAATTTGGTACCCTTTTTTTTTTTTTTTCCCCCCCCTTTAAAACTATCATCATTGATAAAATTTTTTATATATACACATTTATATATATATATATATACCTTTCATTTATTTATACGCGTTTACGCACTCTGCGTGCGTGCGTGCGTGCGTGTCAGTATAACAAATTCATATTTATTTAAAAAGAATTCATTTTTTTTAAAAGAAATAAAAATTTTTAAAAATAAAAATAAAAATAATCAATGACTTTATGATGAGAACAAAAAATAAGAATAAAAAAATTTTCTTTTTTTTTTTGGTTGCACTCGATTATTATTATTATTATCATTATTGTAAATTTATAAGACATTTTTTTAAAATTATTATTTTTATTATTATTATTATTATTTATATATGTTCTATATATATATATATATATTTATATAATTTTTTTTTTTAATTTGGTCCAGATTATTTAAAATTTTATTCTTTAAAAAAAAAATGAAAAATATATATATATATATTATTGTATATATACATACTTTCCCCCCGTCTCCTCCTCCTCCTCCTCCTCTTATCAATTAAACTTTTTCTATTAATTTCCCTTCGACCACTCTCAAATTATTTTTATTTTTCGACACGAATTTCGATATGGACAAGTTCGAAATGAGAGGAGTGTGTGATAAATTTATACGGGATAACCTCACGCATTTTTGTAAATGATCTAAACTTAATTCGGTTATCGATCGACAATTGGACAAATCAATGTCCGTCAACATGTCTATGGTCGTCGCTTGAGATGTCGAGAGTTGAGCGACTCCAGCATCCGTGATCCTTCCGCACGACGACAAATCCAAAACGGCCAATTTGGGAAGGTGTTGAGTGATGTACCGCAAACTCACGTCCGATATGTCGCACCCGGCTATTTTCAAACACCTCAAATGCCTCAACCTTGATTTAGTTTCTAATAAACCGGGCCTGGAATCCGGCGGAGGAGACAATATGTCCCGTAGTGACGAATCGTTCATTCCGCTCACGAAAGACAAATCTAACGAGTGTAAGGGTGGGCAAACGCACGTTCTCAAAGCCGAAACTCCCGCCCACGAACATCCCTGTATTGATAATTCTCTTAGTTGAGGTAAACGACCGATTAACCATCCCAATTGTTTTTTCGCAATGTTAGTCCAATCTAATATGAGAGCTTCGGGTTGACGCCTTGCGATGCCCGCCAAATGACTCGCCGTCAGCCTCTTGTGAGATAAATCCATTTTACGCCACAGGCTCGGTTCCAAACTGTACCTGGCCCAGGCACGGCAAACGAGAGAACATTCGACGAGTTCCATCGGAGTCAAATAACGAAACACGGGAACTATGCAACTCCTTTCGAGAGCCAAATTGTTATCTTTGACGACGAGGTTTTGCCGGACTCCGGTTGCTGGTCTCACGACGTAAACGGGTCTCTTTAACACTTTGTTACTGTTTCCGGTGAGTTGTTGAGCCAGCTGAGTTCTTAAGGCCGATTTGCGAGGTTCCGTTGTCGGGGGTCCGGACGATGAATTATTCGAACTCGACACGTCTTCCGAACTTCTACTGTGTTTAATGGGCGTGGATGCGGCTGAGGGTCCTCGTAAACCGTCGAAAAAAAAGCTCGATTTCTGAAAAGAAAAAAAAATAACCAATCAAAAGTCCTCATTTTTTTTTTTTTTTTTAGACAAACGATTAACCTTTTTTTTAATCAATTAAGCGCGGGAAAATCGGTTAATCCTAAAGGATTAACGTTTGCTAAGCTAAGAAAATTAAGCAAAATTAAATTGTTTAAAAACAAATAAAACATTTAACAAACATTTTTGTGCGAGGAACAACAAAACACACCACCATTGCTTTCGCCATTTTATAATTTGTCTTAAATAATTCTAAGTTAACGTTTTTTTTTTTTTTTTTTCCACTTACCTTATGTACATATAAAACAAAAGAAAGATAAGGTATCATCTGCAAGTATTATACAGGCAAAGCAAAAACCCAAACGCATTAAAAATGAGTGTGCTAAAAGGAAATAAAGCACAATATTAGTGTGGCTGCAAAACAACAACAACAACAACAACAAAAAAAAATGGTGCAAACTCTTGTGTGCAACGTTTTACTTTCATTATTTTCTTTTTCTTCTTTTCTTTTACCGTCCTCGAGTTTTTATTTTAGGTTTTTTTTTTTTTTCGGGTTGGTTTATTGCTTTCGTTAACATTCTTACAATCCTTCATTTTTTTTTTTTTTTGCATATGAACAACTCAAAAAGCCAACACTCAACACTACATACAAACACATACTAAATTCGGATAAAAGGGATAAAGCAAAAAACAACATTTAATATTTACAACATCTTCTGCTATCATGTTAGACATTTTTTTTTTTTTTTGGTTAAAGGAATGCAAATTATTACTAAAGCAACAGCATTATTATTATTATTATTATTATTTTTTTGAATGAGTTAATTAACGAAACCATGCTTTTAAAAATTTTATGCGCATACCAACGATATAGAATAATTTTATTTCCACTTACATCCGTGGGAGATGATCTGTCTTCTTTGGGTTCCAATTTAGGCCTTTTTGGGAGTTCGCTCAATTGTGCAGGAGTTGCAGGTCGACTAAAACCTTCGCTATCTCGACTTTCGCTATCCTGTAGGAAGAAAAGTTTTTTCACATTTTTGTGGAAAATTCTTTTGCAAATAAATTTGAAGATTAAAAAAAAATTTTTTTACCTCCATTGGTTCTGTTTTAATATTATCTTTATTATCCATAGCATCGCTACTGACTGACATTCTTCTAATATCTGTTGATCTTTGCCTCGCTCTAAAATGCCGAGGCTGAAAAAAAAAAAAAAAAAAAATTTTATTCAATAAATTTTTCCTGATTTCCCCCCTCCCCCTCCCCCCATTTTGTACCTTTTTAGAAAAAACTCACTTTATATTCAACATTTTTCCCGTCCTTACAACATTTCGGACATTCCCAACTATTTGGTAAATCTTCATTGACGACTCCCTCGAGTCCTGGAAAACTTTTGGTGTAACATTCCGGATGAGCTATCTCGTAACACACACTACATTCCATGAGAGTGCTAGGTGTGTCGCGAGGTATTTTTTGTATGGGAATGACAGGTTGTTGTCCCCAACCATCCAAACCACACGTCAGACAAGCCGCAGTAACTGGCAACATGGGCTAAACGAAAAAAAAAAAAAAATTCCGATATTAATACAACTTCTTCGGCACAACAGCAAAAAAAAAAAAAAAAAAAAGGTAATAAACTTCACGATACCTGAAGACACTGTCTCATGACACAAGTTTGTTTGGCTCTACCTGGTCCTCCGAATTTGACCATGTCCAAACAGAAACTACATTCTCCGCAATCGTTTCTTTGACAAGCTTCGCATTTTTTACATCGCGTCCTCCGTCGTCTTGGTCCGCTTCCTTTTGCTGCTGGCGATCGATGAGCCATTTTGTGTAGTTTTGGAGTACGATTTTCCGCATTTTTCATCAGTGGAATTCTACCCTTTCTTATTCTTCCCTAAAAAAATTTAACGAATTTAACGTTTTTAAATATTACCTTGAAATAGAAAAAAAAAAAAAAATTTTAATACTAAATAAATACATCGAGATCAACATCCTCCATTCCCGTTCTAAGGACACTTTTCCCGGTTACAGCCAATTCTGGATTATCGTGCCTGTGTTGCTCGACAACCGTTCTCACGTCCTTAACCAAAGCTATCGGATCTTTTATTAATTCCGGTACATTTTTTCTATTTGTAGGTAAGGAATGAAGGTACATGACAATGGCTTTTAAACCGTGAAGTTCCTAAAAAACAACAATTACTCATTAATAAATACTTACTAATCTATTTAAATTTTACCTCCTTTAATAAATTACCTGAGGTGTTAGGTGAACATGTTTAGGAGGCGGTCCGGAAGGCGGGTTAGAACTAGGAGGTACGTCGTCCAAATGAGATTGACCGAGAAGGCAATGTACATATTTTTCTAGTACGTACCACAACATTTCCGTAAAAAAAGGATACCGAAATTTTTGAGGTACCTAAAAATATAAACTTTAAAAAGACACCAGACGCTTTATTTACAAAAACCTAAAAAAAAAAAAAACAAAAACAACTCACGTGAGTGGTATCTTCAACCTGAGCAATTTTAAGTTGCCTTTCGATTCCGAAGGAGTGTAAAAAATTACCACCGAACACCAACGAATCCATCGGCGTGTACACTGCATGTATCCAACCCGTGGGTATGAAAAATGTGTTACCCGCGGTCAAAGTCACCCTTTGACATTTTTCCACGTTATCGGCGAAAAATATATCTCCCTGCTTTCCCGAGAGTACCCATTGTTCGTACAAAGCCACGTTTCGTTCCGTGGGCGGTATTAACCAAAAAATCTAAAACAAATCAATCAATCAATCAATCAATAAATAAATAAACAACGAGTTAAAATAAATATTTACTACTACTTACCTTACTACCCTTGAGAATGTGATACCAAACGCTCGTTCCCCCAAAATCTATATGAAAATCCGTGTAGCATCCTTTGACCGACATTAAACAGTATTTTTGCACTTTCGGGTACATCATGTCATCTATGGCGTTTGTTGCTTCCGTTTGGGCTTCTTTTAAATGAGCTGGCCATACGCAATCGACCCAATCCAACAGCCGAACCTATTAAAGTTTTTTTTTTTTTTTAATAAAAATAAATTATTATAATTAATTAATTAATATATAACTTACTATCGTCGGACTTTGAACGTAATTTTCTAATTTCGTATGACTAAACTCGAGGGATATAACATTGAGTAACCTGTCCTTGTTGGGATCATTGTAATACCGACACCATTCTTTCATTGTCATCTCTTGATTTTTTTGAGTGTTTACATCCATGACGTCTAATATTCTTCTCGAACCTGTACAAATCGTTTTCATTTTTTAAAAACAATTAATTTTTATCGGGATAATCAAACAAACACTTTTTTTTTTTTTTTTTTTTAAATAAAAAATTAACCTTACCCACGCACATTTTGACGTGTGTCACGGTAAATTCTTGTGTGGGTACTCGTATTCCCAATCCAGTTTTCTCCCGGAAAAGCATCGGCGTGTTAAAACTGTCGTCATACGAAAAAAAAAAAAAAAAAAAATTTTTTTTAAATTAATTTTTTTTACCCGTTTGTTTAACCCCCTTTTTTAAAATATATTTTTTACCCGTGTTTTTGTAAATAAGCCAACGTTAAATCGGCTCCATTCATTTCCTTTACGAAACACGTCGTCGTAAATTTATCAGTCTCCATTTTATCTTCAAGGCGAAACGATCTCCTACCCTCTATGTCATCTTCTTCACCCAGCATCCAATCGTCTGTGTATAATTTTCTTTCTTTCCGATCTCTCTGAAAGCCAAAACAACAGAAGAAAATTTTAAGTATAATAATATACGATAAGATCCGACGACTACAACACACGCACGCACGCACACCCACCCACCCACGCACGCACGCACACAGGTGAGTAACATCAACAGTTTTAACATGTTGACCAATTATTATTATTATTATTATTATTATTATGCCCGTATATAAAAGTCGTTAACTGATTAATAAATAAATTTTGCCGACAATTTAATTGATTTTAATTAGTTACAATTTAAAATTTGAATTTGATTCCTTCGGTAAACCCAAATAAAAATTAAAATTTTAAAACTTTCGCGTTGTGATTGCAGACGACACTAAAAACTTTTTAAAATTTTTTTTTTAAGGGATTTCACGAAAAAAAAAAAAAAAAAAAAAAAAAAAAGTTATAAAGGGGGTGTTAATCAAATTATTTTAAAAACTTTTGACTGACAACAAACGTTTAACGCCTTAAAAAATTTTTTCTAAACGTGAATTTCATGGCGTCCATACAAAAAAAAAAATTTTTTTCTTTTCTTTTTGGTTCATCTTCCCCCCCCCCGGGAGATAGGTACGTACGTACTTAGGTATACGTATAAATACTAAACGGAAAATAAAAAATACCTGATCGCCATTCGGTGATAAAGGAAAAACCTGAAAGAAAACCTGCGAATTTTAGGTTTTTTTCACGCGTCATAATTATTTCTACGAATTATAAAAAAGTTTAAAACGACGATTTTCGCCCCCCAAAAAAAAAAAAAATTTCCTTCTTCTTCCTTCCTCCATTTTTCATTTTTTAATAGAATAATAATAATAATAATAATAACAACAACACATAAAAAAAAAAAAAAAAACGACGAAGAAAGATCGATATAAAGTTTATCGAACGGACATGCTCGAAAATATCATCATCATCATCATCAACAACAACAACAACAACACCGGAATCGAAATCGAATCGAATCGGAAAAAAAAAAAAAAAATGGAACAACAATATGGCGCGCTAAGTCGAGTTCGAATTTTAAAAAAAAAAAAATATACGAAACAAAATCGTCAGGTTTCCGTTCCTTTTTTTTTCTCTCTCTCTCTCTCTCTCCTTTCCTCTTTCCTTTTTCTCAACCGATTACCAACAACAACAAACAAAACAAACAAACACGTCACGCGCACGTACGCACACAAATAGTAAAAAAGGATCAAATTTATTTATGGATTTTTTTTTCCTTTTTTTTCCTTTTTTTTTTTTTTTTTAAATGGAGGAGAAAAAAAGGGAAAAGGAAATGGTTATTATAAAATCGATCAAAGGTATTTTTTTTACACGGTTACGAAAAAAAAAAAAAAAAAAAAAAAAACGGTAATAATGATAATAAATCCCTTTTAAATTCGAAAATGAATTTAGAAGACTGAGTTCGTCGCCTTCTCTCTCTCTCTCACTCTTTTTGTTCAGAAACGTAAAAACGAACGTAGGAAACAACCGACAGAAAACGAATCGGAAAAGAAAAAAAAATGAAAAAAAAATTTATTATGTATATTTCAATAAATTCCCTCCCCCTACTTTCCCCCTTCTTCCCCTCCTCTAACTTTTCCAGCCCCATTCAGCCCTCCTCCCTTCTCTCTCCCTCCCCCCTCTTTCCTTTTAATCCCTGTCTCAAATTTGAACTTTGACATTAATATATATAAAATAAATTCGGATTTATTTTTACCGGGAAAGGGGGCGGGAAGAGAAAGAGAGGGAGAGACAAAGAGAGAGAGAGAGAGAGAGAGGCATACGAGAAAATTAAAAAGAAATTTAATAGACTTGATTTTAACATTTACGGTTCCATCATCATCATCATCATCATCATCATTACTATTATTATTATTATTATTACTATTTGTTTATTTAGCAAATTCTCGAACGATCGCGATAATGTAAATATAGGAAGAGAACAAAATTGTTTTTAGACTTTTAATAATAATAATAATAATAAAATACATCATTGAAAACGACATGGAGTCGAATATATTTCGATTAACTAATTAATTAATTAATTTTTTTTTCTTTTCCCTCCTCGCGCTCGCTCGTGTGTGTGTGTGTGTGTGCGCGCGCGCGTTCGAAAGATGGAGGAAAAATGATAATAATAATAATAATAAATTCCCCGCGTTCGAAAAAAAAAAAAAAAAAATTTTTTGTCGTAAATCGTCCGATCGCCATTGTCGTCGTCGTCGTTTTCGTCGTCGTCATTCGAACCATTTTTATTTGTTTATTTTATAATCTTTTTTTTTTTTTTTTTTTTTTCTGTCTTTCTTTCTTCTTCCCCCGTTTCCGTCCGTGTACGACGACGCGTTGTTGTCGAACTTTAGGGATACACATACACACAAACATTGTTCTCCTGACAGATACAGATAAACAACTGATGTACTGATATTATACGACGCGAAGAGTATGCGTCCCGTCTGGCAATTCGATTTGTAGAAAAAGAAAGAAAGAGGGGAGGAAAAGAGAGAGTGAGAGAGAAAGAGATAGAGAGTGATAATTGTAAAAAGAAGGAAAAGAGGGAGGGAGAGAGAGAGAGAGAGAGAGAGAGTCTTCCGATAGCGACGATTCTCGCCAGTTATTCGTTTTTAACTTCCACGCGCGCAACGTTTGTACACACTCTCACACACACACGCACGCACGCACAACACACGCATCATCACACGCATAAAACATAACTAACTGAAATAATATGATATTCTTTTCTTTTTTTGTTTTACACAAATCTTTGTCGAAATTTGAATTTTTTCTTTTTTTTTGCAACATTATCTGATTGTTTTGTTTAAAAAAAAAAAAAAAAAAAAATTCTAACCAGATAAGAGAGAGAGAGAGAAACTGCTGCCAACCTTATGAAATTTTAATTGTTAACTTTTTAATATAATAATAATAATATTATTCTTATGTCAGTATGATTACTTTGTATGAGTGCAACCGTATTATCAATTAACTTATTTTAAATAATAATAATAATAATAATAATAATAATAATAATAATAATAATAAAAATTTCTTATTTTATTGTTTATGCGTCTACGTACCACTACAATTTTCTAAATAAAAAAAAAAAAAAAAAAACTTTTCCTTTTTTTTTTATAGGAGAATAAAAAAAAAAGGTACGCGAGGTTCGAAATCTTACAAAAGATCAATAGATAAGGTTCGTATAGGAACTTTTTGTTTAAAAAAAAAAAAAAAAAAAAAAAAATGGAACCTGATTGTTGTTGTTGTTGTTGTTGTGAGTTTTTTGGATTTTTTTAACCCAAAAAAAAAAAAAAAAAAGAAAGGGAAGAAGGAAAAAAAAAAAAAAAATTGAAAATTAAATTTTATATCCCCTTTTGTGCCTGTGTGTGTGTGTGCGCCATATTTTTTTCCTTTATAATTTTTTTTTTTTTTTCCCCCCCCCAACAACTTTATCCAAAATACAAATTATTGATGTAAATCGTTATAATTATAAAAAATGTAAAAAACTCCTTAAACGACGAGAAAACACCCAAACAAGAAATTGACCGAAAAAAAAATTTGTTTTTTTTTTTTTTTTTGGGGGGTCAATCATTTTAACCGTGGAAAAAAATCCCCCCCCCCCATCATTCACAGGTATAAGAAATTTTAAAAAAACCTCAAATTTATCTACAGTTATCACTATTTCTTATATTTCTTTGCCAGGAGCAACAAGTGATTAATTACATTCGATTCAAACTTATGAAAAAATTTTTTACACGATTCAATTCGAAAACTCCAACAAAACATAAAAACAAAAAGGGGGGAAAAGGGGGGGGGAAATTAGTTAACCGTTTAAGAACTCTCTCTCATTTGCAAAAAAAAAAACAAATTTTCAACTACAACCATTTTAAGTATTTAATGAAAATGATATGAATAAGTACATGTACATGAACTTTATGTGTTTTCATCGACAACATATTAATTTTAACAAATTTCACAATTAATACTTCTCGAATGAATTCAAAACTTGTTCACGATTAATCAAACATAATAACAAAATGATTAATTATAACTTTATTATTGTTTTTAAAAGCATGTACTTCAGGTACACACACACACACACACATACACACACACACACACACACACACACACATACAGACTGAGTTAATTTCATGATTTTCACATTAATCGTTTAATAACTGTCTTTTTAGGTACTGCTACGACTACAACAACATCACTAATGTCACACGAATAAAAGTTTAATGAAAACAAAAAACACAAACACAAAACACAATTTTGTTATTATCTCCAACTTTTATGACAGCAATGCCTACCGAAGAGTTTCATCACAACACAACATTTATAATTATTTAAAAATAATAACAACATTCGATACAAATAATATAATTTATTTTATTTAAACAAAACAAAAAAGAAAAAAAAAGGGTTTTAAAAAGACATTTTGATCAAATGTGATTTCAAATTAGATTTAATCCCCAACAAAGTTTACAATGAGTAAGATTTAATTTTAATTTTTTCTTTTTTTTTTTTTTTTTTTATATTAATGTCACAGGATTTAGATTTAAACATTCAAATTTCTTTTTTTATGTAATTAAAATTGATAATACGTTATTAATATGAATTCAAACGATTAAAAGATGTGTAAAAGAAAAAAAATTAAATAAATAAATTCTTTTTTTTTTTTTTTTTTTTTCAAAACGTTAATAGTAGTAACAAACAGGTGCGAAATAATCGAATGGGAAAAAAAAAAAAAAAGAAAATTAATTTGACGAATAATAATGATAATAAAAAAAACACAAATTTTAAAAATTCAGTTAAATATATAACAGACGTTTGTAAAAAAAAATATATAAAAATTAAATAAAAAATAAAAATATTTTTTTGGTTTATCGAAAACGTTTATCATATATACCCTTTTCGTATTGTTCGACGACTGTGAATATTAACATCGTAACCGGCCCCGTTTTTTTAAAACTTAAAGTAAAAGCAGGTGCATTATCGGTATTATTCTCGTAAATAAATAAATAAAATAATTCGATAATGAAAAAAAAAAATAATAATGTAAAAATAAAATAAAAAAACAAAATGTATTTTTATAACCTCGAGTCTTAAAACACGAATCAATGAACACAATGAAAAAAAACAGTCGTGAGCGGGACTCAAAACATG